GGAAAAGTGTGATGTAGTTTTGCAGGAGAGTCAGTCCACATGGTTTCTGTCTATTTTTTAATGAAACTAAGTACTTACTGATGGTTTACTAAGGATGGTAATGATGATATATTTGGTTACTGAATGGATGAAAAAAACATTTAAGGAACCAAAATGTGAAGAAAAGTCAGTTACAGGCCTGTGTGAGTGCTACAGCCCTGTCTGAGTCGTGTCTTCAAAACAGTCCTCATGACTCATAACCAACCTAATTAGAGTAACTAGGGCTAATGCTGTTGACTTTGTATTGAATGTGAAATTTTATAAAGTGGATGTCCTTGTTCATCATCTAGACTCCAGCTCAAATTAAAGACCTGACGACTACAGATGGAAGAGCGTTTTCAGTGAGACTTCTTTCTTCCAATAGAGTTTGTCATAAACAATAATTTTAAAGCTGAGATGTAACTGATCTTACCGAACTGTAAAAAGAGTGACTTATTTCATAGCAAGTTCATCAAGTTGTCTGCAGAGTAGTACCTAGTTACATTTACTGGGTAACATGTACTGAAGTAAAAAGTTTGATACATTTGTTCTTTCCTTAGTAGTTTTAAATACTGTTGTCATGATGTTTTGTTTGTGGCAGCATCTGTACTGTTTATGATTAGTCATCCATCTGACTTTTGAGGTTTATCATTGAATTTTAGACAAAATGATCCAAAAAAAATAGCCTAACAAACTTCAGTTCCTATGCTGCTGGATGGTGGATGTACTAAGAATATCGACTGCAGTTCTATAAGCTATTCACTGCTAAAGTCATTTTTTGTATTTCTTTGAAGTTATAATACTTTTACCTAATTATGAGTTTGTCCTCATGTTTAGACAGTTTGACACATTTGCAATTGGCCTTAAATTATGTGTATTTTAGAAAGAAATTACTTTCTGTTCATACATTACAGCCACTTGAATATTTCAGTCTGAAGGAGCTCTGATGAAGGCTGTGTTAATTGCTGCCTAGCTGATGAAATCTGCTGTAGAGCTTAATCACTTACAGGAGTATTACAGCTCTGCTGAGTGACTTACTGTACAGTAACTGCTATGCTTTATTTGGTAACTAGTATGTGGCTCCACACATCAATTCCTCAGTCTCTGACAGAATAGTTTTAGTAGTTATAGAAAAATTCATAGTAGCTACCAAATAATTCATAGTAATTACTGAGAAATTCATAGCAAATAGTGAGCAATACATAGTAGTTACTGAGACATTTATAGTAGTTATTGGATAATTTATGGTAGTTGCTGAGTAATTTTAAGGTAGTTACAAAATAGTTCATAGTAATTACTGAATAGTTCAGTGTTGTTACTAAGTAATGCATAGTTGTTACTAGTAGTTCATAGTTGTTACTAAGTAATGCATAGTTGTTACTAGTAGTTCATAGTAGTTACTGAGTATTATATAGTAGATGCTGAGTATGGTACAGTAGTTACTGAGTAATGTATAGTAGATGCTGAGTATGTTACAGTAGTTACTGAGTAATGTATAGTAGATGTTAGTATGTTACAGTAGTTACTGAGTAATGTATAGTAGATGTTAGTATGTTACAGTAGTTACTGAGTAATTTATAGTAGATGCTGAGTATGTTACAGTAGTTACTGAGTAATGTATAGTAGATGTTAGTATGTTACAGTAGTTACTGAGTAATGTATAGTAGATGTTAGTATGTTACAGTAGTTACTGAGTAATTTATAGTAGATGCTGAGTATGTTACAGTAGTTACTGAGTAATGTATAGTAGATGTTAGTATGTTACAGTAGTTACTGAGTAATGTATAGTAGATGTTAGTATGTTACAGTAGTTACTGAGTAATTTATAGTAGATGCTAAGTATGTTGCAGTAGTTACTGAGTAATGTATAGTAGATGCTGAGTATGTTGCAGTAGTTACTAAGTAATGTATAGTAGATGCTGAGTATGTTCCAGTGGTTACTGAGTAATGTATAGTAGATACTGAGTATGTTACAGTAGTTACTGAGTAATGTATAGTAGATGCTGAGTATGTTACAGTAGTTACTGAGTAATGTATAGTAGATGCTGAGTCATTTATAGTAGATGGTGAGTATGTTACAGTGGTTACTGAGTAATGTATAGTAGATGCTGAGTATGTTACAGTGGTTACTGAGTAATGTATAGTAGATGCTGAGTATGTTACAGTGGTTACTGAGTAATGTATAGTAGATGCTGAGTATGTTACAGTGGTTACTGAGTAATGTATAGTAGATGCTGAGTATGTTACAGTGGTTACTGAGTCATTTATAGTAGATGGTGAGTATGTTACAGTGGTTACTGAGTAATGTATAGTAGATGCTGAGTATGTTACAGTAGTTACTGAGTAATGTATAGTAGATGCTGAGTATGTTACAGTAGTTACTGAGTAATGTATAGTAGATGCTGAGTAATTTTAAGGTAGTTACTGAGTCATTTATAGTAGATGGTGAGTATGTTACAGTGGTTACTGAGTAATGTATAGTAGATGCTGAGTATGTTACAGTAGTTACTGAGTAATGTATAGTAGATGCTGAGTATGTTACAGTAGTTACTGAGTAATGTATAGTAGATGCTGAGTATGTTGCAGTAGTTACTGAGTAATGTATAGTAGATGCTGAGTATGTTACAGTAGTTACTGAGTCATTTATAGTAGATGGTGAGTATGTTACAGTGGTTACTGAGTAATGTATAGTAGATGCTGAGTATGTTACAGTGGTTACTGAGTAATGTATAGTAGATGCTGAGTATGTTACAGTAGTTACTGAGTCATTTATAGTAGATGGTGAGTATGTTACAGTGGTTACTGAGTAATGTATAGTAGATGCTGAGTATGTTACAGTAGTTACTGAGTAATGTATAGTAGATGCTGAGTATGTTACAGTAGTTACTGAGTCATTTATAGTAGATGCTGAGTATGTTACTGAGTAATGTATAGTAGATGTTAGTATGTTACAGTAGTTACTGAGTAATTTATAATAGTGAATAGTTCATAGTGGTTACTGAGTAATTTATAGAAGATACTGATTAATTCATTGGAGATACTAAGTTAGTCATTTATAGTAGTTATAGAATAGTTTATAGTAGTTCTTAGTTGTTATCTAGTAAGTCACAATAGATAATATTAATTCATAGTAGTTACTGCACACTTATAGTAGTTCCCATAGTCCATATTTGTTATAGTAATATAACAAATATAGTAATTTGTAGTCATTACTAAGTGATTTATAGTAGATACTGAGTAATTTAAAGGATACTAAGTTTGGTATCCTAAGTAATAGTTTCTGGCTAATTATTAGCAGTTACCAAATAATACATAGTAGATACTGAGTGGTTCTGTCATTACTGGGTAATTCATAGTACTTGATTACCAAATATTACCAAATATTTCCTAGTATTACTGAGTAATAATTATAATAATTATAAGTATAATTAAGTTATAGTGGTTACTGAGTAGGTACTGAAGAGTTCTTAGACGTTACTGAGTAATTCATAGCTGTTATTGAGTACTTTACAGTAGCTGTTGCTAAGTAATTTGTAGTACTCTGAAAAAATGATTTGTCAGTTCAACCTAAAGAAATTAGTTTATGTGGAATCATGCAATTTAGCTGGTTTTATTGAGCAAAAGTAAAATTTACATCAATTCAAACCCTTAAAATCAAAAGAATATTTCTTGGTATACCGTATATTAAGTTTTAAGATTAATCATTAATTTAAAAGACTCTAAGGGGTTAAGAGTTCTAGATTTGTATATTTGTGCATTTTAAATCGGTGAGGTTTCTGCTTTATAGCAGGTGTTTACACTCTTCAAACGTTGACATTTTTGTGTCATAATGCATTTAATTAATGTCTTAGTCTAGCGATGGAGGGATCTCTTCTAGGGAAAAAGGCCACCTGCACAGCACACTGTCCAAATGTGGCTGCTTGAGTGGTTATAGTTTAACCTCGACAGTGAATTATGATCTTGGACTGTGGCAATTACAGCAGACACTGCTGCTTCATAGCAAGCGTTTATTTAGTGCTGCACCAAAAAAAAACAAAAAAAAACCATTTAATTTAGTGTCCCATGGTGGCCTCATTCCGGTATGAGTGGGATTATGACAACATGTTTAATGTTATTGTGATAAATTACAGCACAATACACTTTCCTAAGTATAATGTATCATCAGTTCTTCTAGGATGATGATAACTGGATGGATTATCGAGAACCTGTTAACATCACCAACCAGAGCATAATAACTGCATAAACTGCCAAATATGGCAACAAGTAGATGTCAGCCCATTGTGCCATGTTTTATATTTATTTTTACCCATTGTTTAATATTTCTCCCTGCTTCTTTTTAAGCAGTTTACATGCATGCAAACAACTGCAAACTTTAATTTAAATAAAAACAATACAGATATTTTGCATATGGATAAACAAACAAACACAAAAGAAGGTGTCATAGAATACAACAAACGTTTACAGCGTCCTGCAATTACAAATTTGGCCAGTTTTAAGATAAAAAAAAATGAAGGTTCATTTGAAATATTTAATGTAAGCTTGCTGTAAAGTGTGGAATGTGCTCACTGGGAACTGTTGCGTAACATCTCTCCAGTTTAACCCCTTACATGGCCAGTATTATTACACGTCTATAACCTAAGAATAGCTCAGCCAGTTTGCATTGAAGTCCCTGTAGTTACTGAATAATAAGCCTTAGTATGTTATAGGCCTGGGATTTTAAGGGTTAGACTGTATTTGCTGGTGTGTTTTGTCCTTTCCAGCTTCTTCGTGAACCTCATGAAAACAAATATCGCGATGCGTATCGTGTTTTGTGAAAGTGTCTTAAAGTATCGCCCACCCTTCGAGTCCAGACGGCCCTCCACACTGTTTTTTGTCCCTATTTGGCGTTACAGTGAGCCTCAGCGCTGCCCACGCCTGCAGCTCCACACGCGGCCGCCAGGTGGCAGTAGCGCGGCGGCGCGGGGAACAGCCAGGTCTGGAGAAGAACGGCAGTGTGAGCGGAGAGAGAGAGGCACCGCGACCGACGGTGGTTACCAATTTATTTTCATTTTTTTACGGCGACAAACGAGTGAAAAGGGGGGCACGACGCGCCTTTTTACCCGAACTGAGCGTTAGGTGTAGCTTCCTAGCTCGCTAAGGGCAGAGGCTGACAGCGGAGAAGGTGAGAGAAATAAAGAAAATAAGCCAAAAAAGCGAGAGAAGACGCAGTGACGAAGAGAGAGGAGAGACGGACAGACATGGCCACAACGACTTGTACGCGATTTACGGACGAATATCAGCTCTACGAGGAGCTCGGCAAGTGAGTAACGTTAACGGCGGACGGATTTAAGGCCGTCTGTCTGGCTGAGTTCATGTTTTCGTGGCGAGAATGTGTCTGTGAGGTGCTGAGGTACCGTTAGTGTTGGCTGTCAGAGACGCTACGAAACGTCCAAAACGCTGGGACGTGGGCTGAACAGCTGATTTTCACCTGGCCAGTGCAGAGAAAACGAGGTTATTGTGCTTTAAAACTGTGCAGAAAGGGTTCATCGGTGGTCAGGCTGCAGGAGTGGAGATGGTCATTGCTGGAAGCCTGTTCTGTTCTGGGTACCGTTAGTTCAGGCAGAGTTGGTTTGGTGCTACGCCCCTTTGCAGACCCCCCTTTGCTCAAATGTGTTCAGCCTTCTGTTGCTCTCTGGCTGGGTTGTGATTGTGGTGCAGGACATGCCCTTTTACAGGATTTCATCATATTAATACGTGTAGACATTCAGGTCCAGAAGTATTTGGACACAGTTTTTTTTTGGTAATTTTGCCACTTTTTAATCCTCTTACTAACTTCAAATTTACTGACATCTCTATCCTGGTGGTCAATTTGACCAAAGTCATCCAAACCTTCAGAGAATTATTATAATTACAATTGTTACTCAAGTTAATGTGTCAGATATGAATGATGTCAGTCATTTATTTAGAGATCTTAAGCATTGAATGGGGTCAAATTGACCCTAAAGGTAATAGTTGGGTTAAGAATGTACCAGATTGTTGATTTGACCAACCCTAGAGTTTCTGCTGTCTCTCTGAAAGGGTTGTTTTGTTTTTTAAGCTAATGAAAGCCCCTTCATTTGCTTCCAACACCTCTTTAGACCACATACCGGGAGTTCCCCTGAACAGCTACCAGATGCATGTTCAACACTTGGAGTCAACTCCAGACGTTTTATCTCCTTCATTTGTTATGAAATAATGTGGATACAGGCCACACCTGGCCATGACACTGCTCTTCAGTCAACTGTCCGATTACTTTTGGGTGTGAAAAATGGAGGGTCTGTGTAAAGAATGTCTGTAATTCCTAATCAGTGAATGCACTGTTTTTGTTGGACCCTTAAATTAAAGCTGTAGTTATACTAATTTCTTCATTTCAGACCCATTGTGGTGGCTGTAAAGAGGCAAAATTGCAAAAATTATGTCACTGTCCAGATACTTATGGCCCTGACTGTATATTTATACAGTGCAGAATAGATGCTGTTGTGCTTGTATGAAAAAGAAGAGGTGTCAACACTAGATGTTGGAACATTGCTGTGAGGATTTGATCACATTCAGCTACAGCAGCATTAGTGAGGTCAGGTAGTGATGATGGATGATCAGTTCTGGATCACAAATCATCCCAAAGGTTCTGCGTGGAGCTCAGTCACTCCAGAGAACGCAGGTGAAGTTGTGTGTCGCACCAGTAGAATAGGTCATAAGTTGTGTCTGTGAGGGTTTTGGAGTTATCCAGGGCATTGAATTATTTAGTGCTAGTTAGGGACGAACAATTTGAGCAAACTAATTGTGATTTTTCTGACCAATATTATTTTCTACATTTTAAGGCCTCTGACCGGTTATTTTGGACAAGAAGACCAGCTTAGTCCCTTTTTTTGGCTTAAGGGTTAAACACTGAATGTTGTGTGCCAGATTGCCGGTAAGTGGTTGTGAGGTCACATACTCAGCACGTGGGTGTTTGTTTGCTTCTGATTGACCAAATTCATCTACAGGCAGTTCACGAGCTGAATGTTGTTGATAATGTGGGCTATAATAAAAATTGCAGCCCTTGTAATTTGAAAGTTGCAGTCTTTAAAATTGCAATTTCGATATAAAAACGATGCATCTCTCAGCCCTAGTAGTAGTAATAAATATCATTAAACCATCAGTTATGTCACCTTGACTTACTGTATAAGATGAATATGTATATTGACTCAAAGCAATGGGTGGAACTGTATTTTATGAAAATAATGGGTGTAGGTGTTCATTTTGTGGTTTGGCACAGTTAATGACTGATTAGAAATGTATCAGTATCTTCTAGAGGTGTCTAGGGGGATCGAGGTGGAGTTGGCGAGTGAGATAGGTCGTAGGTAAGACTGTGTGTGTGTCTGTATATCTGGCTGTGTGTATTTTTGTGTGTGTGGGCACATCTGCGCTCCAGCCTCAAAATAGCTAATCCACATAGATCTAGCCTGTCAGCTTTCACCATGAAGGAAATGACATCTTCATCTTAGTGCTGCAGTTTGAATATATTTGTGATATCCAGTGAGTATATTTACAAAATGCAGTTTCCTTTAAGACTAATAAACTATCTGTCAATCAGTTTATCTCTCTGCCTGTCTATAAGGGATATAACAATTCATAATTTTGTCTGATGCAATGTGGTGGTATGTCAATTCAAAACATTCGATACAGCAAAAATAAAGAGCTCCTAAAAATCTGCCTTGTCTTAATATGTTTAACATATTCATTCTTCAGTTTTCCATGTATAGAGCATTTGATCGATGTCGATCTATCAATCTGTTTGCGGTTGTATGCAAAAGTTTGGGCCACGTGGGCCAAACTACATATTCTATTGATTTTTAAAGTGAAATGGAGTAAAAATGACTTTTACAGCCAACTACTTTAAAACATAACATTGTTAGAACTTAATTAATTTAAAATGAAGTTCATTTGATGTCTTAGTTGATGCCTTTGAAGTGTGGGAAGGTTATAAAATGATTTAAAAAGTGCTTCCAGCTTGCTTTTTCCACTGTCCGAAGAAAACCAGAAAAGCAAAACAAAACCACAGTATGACGGCAAAGGACCTGCAGGTCGGCCTAGCTGACACAGCAGTGGTGGTAAACGTTTTGTTGTGCAGCACTGCTTGCACAAACATGATCTGCATGAAAGAACCATCAGAGGGAAACCTTACATGCGACCTCATCACAAAAGTTAGCCTCCCACGGCATACCAGAGGCATTTTGGAAAGAAAATTTGTGGGGACTGATGAAGTAAAAATAATTTTTTTTGCCACAACCAGAAAAGGTGTATTTAGAGAAAAATCAGCAGCATTTGATGAAAAGAACACCTTGCTAAGTGTTAAGCATAGGTGTGGATCTGTTAGGCCTTGGTGTTGCGTGGCAGCCAGTCACAGAAAGCATAGCACGGGTAGATGGAAGAATGGATTCCACTAAATATTGCATATATTTTGCAAGTGATTGTGACACAGTGCGTCAAGAAACTGAAGCTGAAAAGTGGCTGGCTTTTACAACAGGATATTGATCCAAAACATACCTCAAAATCCATAAATTGCTTCAAGAATGTCAAGCTGAAGCTTTTGGGATGGCCCTCACAGTCCCCCTGAGGTGAACATCTCCGGAAATCTATGAATAGATCTTAACCCTTGTGTGGTGTTCTGGTCTGTAGGACCCATTTTCAAACGAAAAAATGATGCGCTTTATTATTATTTCAATCTCAGATTCCTAAGCCTTTGCTAATTATCTGTGAAGAACATATAAAATAAGACATTTTCAATGACTTCACACTGTTCACCCCCTACACATTTATACTACACATGTGGTGTTGGGCTGAACCTGCGGGGAATAAAAGTGTGGAGGTGCTGTTTCCTTCACTCTGTTCTCCTCCTACATGGTCTGCTGTTAGTGTCTGTGTGTCTGTGTGTGTGTGTGTGTGTGTGTCTGAGGGTGGACCACATGGACAGGCTGCTGACTGGCTACAGCTGCTAAAGTAGAACCCCATGCTGACCACTTGTGATATTTTAAACATCTGGTATTTTTACATAAATTGTTATGGCTGTATACATTTAAATAAACAATAATATTAACGTGTGACCACCGCACACCGGTCCCACATCATCCAAATATTGGAAACCATTGTTTTTAAAGGAGGTACGCACACCGACACTTGTCGACTCTGAGCACTGTTCAGGTTCTCAGTGTGTCACTCAGCATTGTGCCAGCCAAATTGAGACCACAGAAAGCCTCGGTAGATCACACGTGGCTTAAAGTTTACACAGAGAAAGACAGCCAGTCTTTTAGGTCAACAGAGAAATGCTAATGGTCTGTTACCTCAGCTAAAGTTACAGCCTAGGTCTTTGCACCATATTTCAGCTTGAAAGCAGTGAGTGAGCGTGATCAATGATGGTTTTGTTTCATTAAATTTATATAAGTATAATGTAAAAATTCAACTTGATTTAAGTTTATGCCCACTCTTACTGCCTGTATTCTACAGCAGGGCTCTGATACGTGATGCTATGTGACTCATCACGTCCGGTGTGCGGTGGCCTTTAGTTTTTCTGAGGTTTTTTGAGGCTCTGATTTTTCCCCTCTATCTGCCAGCTCTGCCTATTGGCGAGCTTCCACACCACTAATCAGTAAGCCCTCTGAAATATAAGTGAGTGGAATATGATTATTTGGCTGTTTGAACGTGAAATAGAAATTTGACACGTCATAATTTTGAGAAATCCTGGCAGCATTTTTAAATACTGCAGTATGCCTTATTACAGTCATACCACCCAACCCTGAATGCTACGTTACAGTATTTTGAAATAAAACCGAGCCCAACCCTGTATAATATACAATTAGAGTTCTGTAGAATCACAATATGTATTGAACCTGAAAATGTGGCTACACATCTGGAGTTCAGAGGCAGGATTGTGCAGAGTCAGTTGTGAATGATGGCACTGAGTTGATGGTGTGAAATTGAGGGTGAAGGAATGAAGTGAAGGGATTTTGTCTGATGACTCCGTACATTTCCAGTAGAGCTCCAACACAGCCAGGCTAATCCCACATCAGAGGGAGTGGAAGGGCGCACAGCGCTGAAGGCTGCTCTCTGTGAGGCTTACTGATAGACTTTCTGTTGAAGTGCGGGTGAGATGTGGAAATGTTGAACATGAAGTGTGAGCGTATCTGGACTCTGGCTCGTGTATTACAGCGAGTGAGACCTTGCTGAGTGTGAGATCACCTAGAAAAGCTGCGTTAAGCCAGGTTATATGTGCGGAGGCAGAGGTCACTAAATGTCGGGATGCATAAATATGTCTGCGAGCGGTTGGATGGTCAAATGATACGTTTTGTTGATTTTCTAAGTGAAAAAAAGTTTACACTTTGTCTACAGACAACAGAATTCTGCACATTTTAAAGCATAGTTACTGTTTATTTGCATGAATTTAAGACATTGGAAACAGCATTAAATGTGGCATGTGCAAAGGTTTTGGCACACCTTAATATAGTTAAACTCAGCAAAGAAATTTCTTTACTGAGATGTGCAGAAAATGGCGTCTTTAAGTTTGTTCTCTGTAGAAAATGTACTTGGAAAATCTAAAACTCAAGCTTTTCATGCGACTAGGTGTAGATACATGTATACATATGTTTGTTTTCATAATTTTTTCAGTACAAATGAGTTCAACATTTTGTAGGAAAACCAGAGAAAAACGAGCTAAACTACTATATAAGGGCCAACAAAATATATAAGGGCTCCTGATTTGGAAACGTTCATTTTACAGTACTGTGAAAAAGTCAGTTTATTTAATTTCTAGTCAAAACAGACATGAAGTACAAGTTATTCATTTTCCAGAAGATATTTCAGAGGAGTTTACATATAAGATAATCCATTTGCATCAATAAGTTAAAAGTAAGAAGTAAATACATAAAAATAGTCAAAATTGGTGTTCGAGAAAGGGTTAACAGTTACAGAGAAAAACCAGAAGAAGAACCATGCAAGACCTGGCAGACCACCAAACCTGTCCCCATCAGATAAACAGCATTTAAAGCTTTCATCTTTGAGAAGACAGCTCAACGCCATGGGTCTGAAAGTATGTGTAGCTGTCAAGAAGCTGTTACTCAAAAAAGGAAATAGACAGAAAGGAGGAAAGTATGCTCTAGACCGCCAAAACTGGACATCTGAGAGATGAAGTAAGGTTTCTTGGACAGATAGACTGATGGGTCATGAGAAACAAGAAATGCAACCAATTTCTAAGACCAAACTTTGCAGGTATGGAAAAATAGCCCTGCAGATTAGTTAACTATGTTTCCTGCTTTTCCTGATGCTGGAAAATAAATAGCCTTATCATACTTTTGACTGGAAATGAAATACACCGATCAGGCATAACATTATGACCACCTCCTTGTTTCTATGCTCATTGTCCATTTTATCAGCTCCACTTACTATATAGGTGTACACTTTGTAGTTCTACAATTAAAGACTGTAGTCCGTCTTTTTTTTTAAAACTCCAGCAGCACTGCTGTGTCTGATCCACTTGTACCAGCACAACACACACTAACACGCCACCACCACGTCAGTGTTACTGCAGTGCTGAGAATGATCCACCACTTAAATAATTACTCTTATAAGATCAATTCAACAAGCAACAGGATGTGTCTGTGAGACTGTTCACTCCTGCATGTGTTAAATATATTCCCATTCCTAAAGGAGTTGAATACGTTGCTGTAAGTGCAGTTACGTTTGCCCTGTTTGTGCGTGATAGTGAAGGGCAGCTCTTTACGCAGCAGCTTCAGCTATCCTGCTAATGCGGGCAGAGGTGGGAGAGAAGAGGAATTAGAGCCTCCAATCACACACACACATACAAAGCCACGTCACAGTCACGCTTACACAGATGTCATAGATCACTTTAATGTCCCCTAAGAGCACTTGATGGGGCTTAATGAAGAGGGCTTAGTTTGCACGGTGATTATGACCAGCTAAAGACCATCTAGAGACCTCCTCTGAAATTTAAAGGCCTCTGGGATGACTGAGACATTTCCCTAATGTTTTTATTTTTATTTTTATTTAATTGATTTGCTCCTCTGAGTTCTAGCCCTCTGTGCTTGTGCATTTTCAGGGGTTTGGACTGTTGAAGTATCAGCTCTATTTCAGATTTCCATACAGTCCAAGTAAACTTGCCAAGCTTACTAAGGGTGAAAAATGAATGTTTCAAACAGTGTACTGGAATAAAACTTTGCTGAGAGGCCTATCGTTCGCTTCTGTAGGTCTCTCATTTGCTGTCTTTTGTGGAAACTATGATCAATTAGAGCCGGACTCATGTGTCGTTTGGCCCATGATATCAGCCGAGATTAGCGACCCACGGTATTACCAGTGTCAGCCTTGCGATCCCCATGATGAAGTGAAACCTTAGACGGTGCTGCCACTGGACAGCTTTATGCAAGACAGTTTATTATTACAGTTGATGAAAAATAAGAAAAATTTGAGACAATAAACAAACAAAAAAGCATTCTGGGTAGCTTTACTTCCAGAGCTACATTACAGTATTTAAGAGTTTCTGTTGTTTATTTGAGTTTAAGAAGTCTGATCATTGAGAACTGACAATGATCTGTCAGTAAAGCAGTTTACAAGTAAAAGTGTCGGAGTATAAAATTAAAATTAAAAATATAAATAGTTATTTTGGCCAGTATTATCAGTGATGAGAATTTATATTCCGCTAAAATTAGATTTAGTGGGCTAGATTTTCATATCAGTTGGACCCTATTAGGTTGTGTAACAGGCCTATCAATCTAACAAGTGTAGGTTATATTCAAACTCACCTAACCTAACGCTACTTGTCAATGACAAAAGGAGGAAAAATAATTACCATGTAGGCTATAAAAATCAAAAAGTGAGATTAATGTAAAATCATTTTACAATTGCATCGTAATATTCTTAAAGTAAATTAAGTGTCTAGAGATTCCTATAGGGATTTGCTTAATTTTAATATTTAATGACCCTTTTCAGAAAGGTTCTATACAGCACACTCTCCATTCATCTGAAGAACCAGTTCATGATGCAAAGAACCTTTAAATCATGCAGAGGGTTTTTAAGTGTTCATGGCTGTATATAGAACTATTTTCTGGACAAAAGAACCTCTGAAGAATCATAATTTTTAAAAGCGTACCTAAGAGTTAATTGTCTAGTCAAACCAGGGGAAGGGAAAACACGAAAAGCGGCTCAAAAAAAGTTTTAAAAAATAGAAGTTAAGTTAAAAATGCTTTATTCCAAAAAAAGCTGAGGGAAATCGGTAGGTTTTTGTCTTGGGTGAGTGACGGAGGCAGCCGCTCCAGATGTTAACTAAAACCATAGCTAACTGGTACAGCACTGTTGCTGATGAGGACTCATCATCTTACTTGAGGTATTTTCCCTTCAGTGGACGAAGTGCCAACAAGTTTGTCAGAGGAATATATTTCCACTATTTCTGGAGTTAGCTAACATCAGCTGGAGTAGTTAGCCTAGTTAGCAATAAAGCTTTCTCAATCACATCCTTAACAACATGTATATGGCAGCGTGCTCACATTAAGGCACTCGTGTTTTGGAACAGCAGTTCCAGAAAATTTCCAGAAAAAGCAAAACCAGAAAATTAAAAAATCCAGTTACAACATAAAAGCAGAGTTTCATTGAATAGTTTTGCATTGAATTGTGCCCCAATGTTCAAATACTGGCACCTTCAATGATTAACTGAGTATTTGAGAACCTGTACACATCCCTAATTCCTCCCCCAAATCCTGACCCCTAAAACTAACTCAAGTAGGGCTGTCACGGTTACTCAGTTTATCTCGATTACTTGATTAAAAACCATTGACTGAAATTTACCTTCTCCATGAATTTTATTATACCTCATTCAAATAGATGAGCTTTCTGTTTAATTGGTTGCCAGGTTGTGCACGTTGCTTTGCCAAGATATTATAAGAGAGCCAGGTGTGTGTGCGTTTGTGCTGTGTCTGCATTTGTCTTACACACTGCAGAATTTGCTGAGTCTGCTAAGCTGTTCCTTTGGGAGCCTATTAAACAAATAAATGTAGCACAGTATATTTCCCCTAATATATTCCATGCCCAGACCTGTATATTTTATTAACACCATAAGCCAGAATGGCGCCCCCTGATGAGATCAGCTTCATTCTCTTCAGGAGGGCTGAGTGCGCAGGAAGAACAGACTGTGGTGGAGGAATGACTGTAACGAACAAGGTGCCATGTAAAACTAATCAAGTGTTTTTTTCTTTAACAAACGTGCAAGTGACCATGTGCACTCGTCATAAAGTTTTGACTTGATAAAGTTAGTGTTGATATTGCATTGTCACAGTATCTGTGAATATCAGTGGCACCTTTTAGGGTATGTGCCATGCTGACTGTAGGAGATACTTGACTGACAAAATTGCTGAAATACTTGAGCTTATGTGTTAAATCCTTTTTGTTTTATTTTTTTCCTAGGGGAGCGTTTTCAGTGGTGCGTCGATGTGTGAAGCTGTGCACAGGCCAAGAGTATGCTGCCAAAATCATCAACACCAAAAAACTATCGGCAAGAGGTGAGTCAGTCCTTTTATAATCTAACAGGACTGTTTTTCTGTTTCTCCCCTGTTTTTTTATTATTTCCATCGTTCATTTTCATAATTTGTCATATTCTAAAAACATTCTAAAGAGGATTTTGAATTTGAATTGAATTTGAAGAAGGGCTTCATGTATAAGTCAATGAAGTCGATTGTTAAGGATGCATTGATATTACTTTTTTTCCAGTCCATCTATATCACAGCTGTCGGAACAAAACCTCGTGTCTCCATTTTTCAGTTTTTGACATAATTTAAAAAGTACTTGTTACCCTTTACATTGTATTTACATTTCATAAAGAATGCACCAACAGAAATGGCCCAAGATGACTTGGAAAAAAAAGTCTGGTTCCATTGACTTACATTAAAATTAAATTAAGTTTTTTCCTTCTTCTGTAAAGTTTTCATTTTGGAGGTACGAGAGTTTCTTCTGACAACAGCGATATGTTTTTTAGTACTTGCCGATACTGATTCTGATACCATACTGAGTAACCTACTTAGAATTAAGTAGTTGTTAGTGTGAGTGCGATGTACGTTAACAATTACATTATTAAAATCTAGCTGATTTTGAATAAAGTGCATAAGCTAGCTATGCTACATTAATTAGCTGTGGGGCGTGTAGCATTGCAGTGGAGAAGAGTGGAGAAGCACATCTGTACAAGTGTAAGTGAAGTATGTTTCATAGTTTTGATCCTCATCTGTCTTTCAGCAACACTCTCTGTATCTCAGTGACAGCAGAAATCACATCCGAGGCTAATGAATCCCAGGAACTCACCTTCTGTGTTGTTGGAGTTTCTTTGGCTGATTGGCTGCTTAAACTGTAATTGAATGTCCTCAAAAGCCGAGATACACTGTGCGATTTTAGAAATCTTGTTCTTCGGTGACTCACGCTGTATGTTTAAATGCATCGTTGTATATGAATTATGTACTCATACCTTTTTACGTTTAAATAGACCATCATGTACAGACAAAGCCTGTGATTTAAATGCTCAGAAAGTGTGTTTAAAAGCGAATTAATGGAGAACTCTGCATTTTGCTCCCCATTTCGAAGGTCAAAATCGATGTGTCTCGTCTGTTCTGGCACTCTAGCCCTGGTCAGAACTGGAAACATTAGGTGCCACTGTGAAACAAAACACTTCAAATTAACCCACAAAATTAATTACATTTTATTTTTTATTGATTTGTTACCTTGAAAAAATAGAAACTTTTTTCTCTAAATGTTTTTTTACAAGCATTACTCATTAGACGTATGTTCAAAATGACTTAGTTTATGAAAATATGTCATGTTATTTTATTAGGTGCCTTCACAAGTCAATGATGGTTAAGCATTTACAGGTAACCATTATTACCATTCACATATGATTTTTTGTTCATCTGAACTTTTTGTGAGCAAGATATTTGAAGTAACTGGGTATCTCTGGAAATGTAGCTTGTATTACCATTTGGGCTAGCTTCTAATATTACTTAATAATGTCTAATCATAACTATATTCTACACAGACAGCATGTAACACTGTTAGCGTCCCGTGGGTCTCCACATAAATTTTTTGGAAACCAAAATATTGCCAAACTGGTGTGTTGACACCCTTCTGCTTTGTTATATTTGTATGCATTCTTTTCCAAACCATAAATCTATGTTCTAATCTTTCCAACTGATGTTCAGAGTGTGTAGTATATGTAGATGATTAGTTGATGTTCTGTTTGTACAGCCTGTAATGTAAGTGTGATCTCTTCTGTTGTAGCTATTTTAACAAACCATAGATTTGAATGATTGTAAATCATTAAAATGAATGATTGTGACGTGTGAAAGAGTATGAATGAAACATAATTTGCATATCTTCACACACAGGGATATTCAGTCATTTTAATTATCATGAGTTAACTCAATAATACTCCTTACTTAATCGATTCACAGTAATAACCATTAGTAGCAGCCCTAATGTGAAGCTCTGAAGCCGTACACTGACTACTCACAGGTGCTGGAGTTTTTTTTAATGACTACCGGTCAGTGGCACGTGCTTGCATGGTAACAGTTACAGCCAAGGCCAAGGCCAAATGTCACAGCAGTGAGACAGACACTGTGCTACACCTCTGAGCGCAGTTTTTCTTACAGCATCCTGCAGGACGGGGACATAAATATGTCACCCCCCCAGGTAACCTGAGCCGTGCAGCTGCTTTGCCAGGTGTTGCCAAGCATTTGACAGCCTTCACTGGTCATTGTGGTGAACAAGCATTTTGACAAGTATTTGACTCCTGCAGCTCTACTGAGCAGCTGATTTGGAAAAGTGGTTGAGAATAAGATGGTAGCGTGGTGTAATTTAGAGAGTGACTAGAGTGGGTTGGATGTGGGGGGCCTCTCCACTAGAAAATGTTGAACTTGTTAGACAAAGTGCCTTTCCTGCAGTGCTCCACACTGTTCGGGGTGCTGGTTAGTGGCAGTAAGAAAGTCTAAATGCTGCCAATTAGTCACACACAGCCATCAGAAATACCAGCCATGGTTTTTCTTCACCTCTTCTATTAATCACTGTATGTTATCTGGGACAGTTTGTTGTCTTTCAATAGTGCTGGACTGAATATTCTGTTTTCGCTTTTTCTGACTTTGCGGTACTGAAATCATTACTTATGGTCTTATTGTGTGCTTTGAGCATTCTGACTAATAACAGATGTTGTTTGGTCATTTGAGCATTCATTCAGTTCTGTTCAAAACTTTGGGCATCTTTGGCCAATTTTTCTGCAGATGTAAATGCACAGTTACTTCATATTTAATTCAATAAAAATAAATAAATAAAATAGTAAATGTGCAAACGTTTGGACACCCTACTGAGTGAGTATTTAGTAACACCACCATTTGGCAGATGTCACAGCTTGCAGATGATTTATGTAGCTAGCTAGGAGTCCAGTCCTTATTGTCCTCTCTTCCTTGCAGAATGCTTCTAGTTCTGTGATATTCTTGGGCTGTCTTGCATGTACAGCATGTTTAAGGTCTACTCCCAGATTTTCAGTCAAGTCAGAGGACTGTGAAGGTCATTCTGAAAGCATCAGCTTACGTTTCTTGTAGTTCATGATGAATTTTTGAGGAATCCTGTTGTAGCGGCCAGCTTCTTTTCAGTCTCTTGACTGACTGCGTCACATATACTTCCAGATTTTGCCGATCTTCCTCACTCCTAATGACAATTCCTAATCTGCCTAACCAGTCCCAATGAGTCAAACAAGGCCTAATGCCAAGATGGGTGGAAAAGTCTGATTAAGAACTTTCGTTTTTTTTTCTTCAGACCCATGACGTCTCAGTAAATGCACTTTCTGCTTTATTTTATTTACATGCATTTGTCTCAACCTAACTGATGAAACAACCTGTAATGTAAACATGTGATTGTGAAAACTAACAGATGTGGATAGTGAGAGTAACTGCAGTTAACTGAAATCATTGCAGTCAGTTCAAATAATTATGATCAGCGACCGTATGACAGGAACTTCTTAAGTCTGAAATCTTATCTCATCTGCTTAGTCACCATGACAGCTTTAGTTAGGACTGAATTTAGGACAGAACCTATTACAGAACAACAGTTCTTAAGTTCATAATCTTATCCTAACTCCAGATAAGAAAACAGTAACAGAACCATCTAAACTAGACAAAATTTCCTAAATTCCTTCCTAACTTTAAGATAAACCTGAGGCATCTTAACTTCTGCTTTAACCATCTGTTTCTATCGTTTTATGCAGTGACAGGCAGCATAGTTCTCTACAACTAGCATAATGACGCTACATTTATCTACATTGAAAACGGTGCTTTTACTTGTGAGACAGTGTTTTTTTAAGAATTTAGACACTGCACACATTACCTTATTACCTTTGTGTGTTAATGTTTGATAAAAACTCGTCAGATAAAATATTACAGTGAAGGTGGTGAATAATGAGGAGACAGAGCTAAACATGTGTGTTTATTAGGAGGAATAACATTAGCGCGCTGGTTAAAGCGTTTGGGAAATGAAACTGAAACTGGAGCGGCGACGGTCTGAAAAACAGCACGAAGTGCTGCGACAATATTCTTAACTCTAACGCTGTAGTGTTATTTGCCCTTTTTTACATGAGTAACAGTAGCTAACGTTAGTTGTCTAACTTGATTATGTGTTTACATTACAGCTGTGCGTGTATGGTCGGTTGCTAGGTAACAGACACGACAGTTGATTGTCGACTCCGATCGAGTAAGTTAAGATTTCCTAACTTGAGATAAGAAAAGATGCTGCAAGATAAAATTCTTAAAATAAAATAAGATTTACTTCTGTAATAACAATTTGTGAAAAATCTTATCTTGACCTGTCAGAACTTAAGACAAAAAGATAGGAAGCTTCTGTAATACAGCCCCAGGTGATTAGGTAAAAATTGTGACAGGCCTATGTAGATGGTGAAGTAGCCAAAAATCAGAAGATTTGTCACAGGTGGCAAAATTCTGTTTTTGGGGGTGTCACATTATACATGTTAATAGTCATTTTTTTCCAATACGATATGAGACCATATTGTGCATCCCAACTTTTAGACATTGTTTTTACTGTTCAAGACATTATTATTATTGCACTATTGGCCTGTATAGTATATACAGTATATAGTATATACATATAATATAATATATACGTATAATTTGCTGACAAATATTTTTTTATTGTGTGCTTCTTAATTGTTTTGATATATTAAGGTATCGAGACCCAATCTAACAAATGCAAATAAAAAAAAAAAAAAAACAGACCATTCTTTTTCTATGTCAGATGAAATTTTTTTTCATGTATTATAAGATGTATCACGGTCATAATATTGCATTTGAAATTTCAGGTTAATATTTTATTCATATTATGTGGCTCCACTGAACACTGTGTGTTTTATAAAAAACACACTGGCCAGCTTGCAGTAAAAAGTGGAATGAAGAGCTGGGTTGTTGTTAAGCTTAATGTGTGTTTTTCTTGTCGCTCTGAATTAAGCTCAGCCTCGCTC